CCCCAAAACCCCAAAACCCCAAAACCCCAAAACCCCTTTCAATCCTTTAATAATTGCATACATTTTAACAAAAAAAATTAATCTGACAAGCTATCTTCATCCTCTTTGTGAGAAAGGTTCCTAGAAAGTTAGAAGGGATACTTACCATTTGGAGCCAGACCGAGACATCAGAGTTGTTTTTCTCCTGAAAGGTGTCTTATGATTAAGCTTAGCAGCTATCTTCTTCCCTTCTTTACTATTCTCAAAGAGGACTAACTCAAATGTCTCTTTTATGCTCTCTAAGGAAATTTCATCGTTATGTGTAAGCTTGATGGCTTCATTGACATCTCCAAGCGAGATTTGGAGGAACTGTCTCAGGTAATCTTTTGAACTATCTCTAAAATATTCCTTATCCTCGGCCATCACAGTTGATTTACGAACAGAGGTTTTGTATGATTGTTTCAAAATCAGGCGAATTCTTGAGTTGACCTTTAACTCTTTCAAAATGAATTTAAGTATCATTGGGAATATAAATCTCTGACTCCCATGCTTTACAGAGGAGGCAAATAAAACATTCTTAACTTTTCCATACTCTTGGAGAGAAAGGATCTGCCTTTGGGAGGAGATGTTATTATCATTATTTGCTATAAAAATAACTTGTCTAAGTAGTTCAACAACACCCAGCATTCCTCTACAGTACTCTGCAGTCTCTACAAAAGAGACTGCTTCAATATTTTTCTTCACGTCTTGCTCAAATTTGGCTTGTAGTTGGTGGTAAGCCCTTGAAGAAATGAACTGAACCTTAGATTTTTCCTTTCTGTAATTAATATTTGGGTCATAGCAATGAAGGAAGAACATATAGACATCAACACACAGGTTCAATAATAAAATAATTGGACCTCCAATTAAGAAGATGAAGAAGGTGTTGATCCTCTTTCACATTGTGACTTCAACTTTCTTGTTGAACAAGAACTGAAGTTTTACTAATATTCCCTTGAAATAAGCTAATGGTAATACTATCAGGTTTCCAATAATAAAGATAATAACAATTAGGATTAATACAGGGAAATAACAGATGTGGCATACTATCTCATTGAATTTTCTAGTATCTTCGATAAAGAAATAGAATGGTGACAAGATTAGAGGGAAAATGTTCCATGGTGGGAAAGCTGAGACCAACCCACTAGCCCTCTTTTCATACTCAAGAGAAGATCTTAGTTTGAGAATTTCATTGATATACAGTACAACCTTCTTTTCTTCCAATGAAGCATAAGTAGTAGAAAGAATAGCGATCAATAGATTTAAAATAAGAATATTTCAAAGTATAACGAATGATATCAAATATATTTCTCCAGCAACTTTTCCTTTATTGGAACCGTCTAGACTTGCAAAGTCAAAGTTTCCTAAAGCTGAGCCAAATAAAGTGACCATTGCATCATAGAAATTCTCATATCCTTCTTCTGTATAAAACAATAGTACAGCCAACGATGAATAAATCACCAGAATAATCACAAACAGTATCATGAAAATAGTGATGTCCCAGAGCATACTGAAGATCATTTTCAAAAGAGGACCTAAGAATCTGGTCAGTCTGAACATATAGAGGATCCTCAGCCAGAGAGCTGTCATTGCGATGGCATATAAAACATCTAGAAGGATCTCATCATCAGCGAATTCATAGATATTCTCAAAATATCTAACAGCTTTCTTGCCTTCATCACTAATGCTGCTTAGTCCATCTTGGTACTTATCAAATTCTCTTCCAAGTCTGATTAAGAACATGAGGCAGAAGGTGATGTCACATAAGTTGGTGAAGTTTATAAACTGCATGCTTCTTTTCGTAACTGTTGCATAAAGAATCTCCAAAAGAATCCTTACGGGATAAAAGAAAGCAATTATTGACAAATATTCAGTAATTTCCATATCAGTGTAGAATGTTATAGCAGCTGAATGATGCTCTTCAAGAGCAGCATCAATGGCTTCTTGAGTGCTATTGGCATCTACAGCCTCATTGTAAACAGTCAAAAGTTCATGGCCAGATCTTAAGGCTGCAACTAAGAAATACTGGAATAACAATGTCAGAATTACTAAGAATAAAGCTTCAGTTAAAAACTTTGCCATCATCGACTTTTTCCAAACTTGGTATTGGAAAAGATGGTGAGCGTACTTTTTCCTAAACGAAAAATTGTAGAACATATATTCTTCCACCAAGTCTCTCGGTTTGTTGAAGGTGTTCCAAGTGATGATTGAAAGAGCAGATGATCATTCCATTACATTTCCTTTAACATCATATTCTGAGCTCCAAAGCTCTAGAGCAATTTTTTCCATATTTTTATTGTTCAAAATGTCAGAAATATCGTACTGGGAGAGGAGTTCTAAAGAGTCTCTATACTCAAAATCCCTCTCAAAAACAAGGGCTCTTAATTTCTCCTCATCATCGATTCCTTTGATAAAGTTACTGCCGATCTCAGTCAGTTTTTCGATGATTCCTTCAGTGTGGGCGCTTAAGAATGGGTACTCTCTAGTGATCAATACTCAAATTTCATACATATTCAGTATTAATAAAAGCAAATTTGGAGTGAAGTACAAAGGACTATCCTTGGGGTCTGTCCTATCTAGTTTACCTGAAATAGTGAACAGGAAATCCTCAGCTCTCCTGTAGCTCAAATGATTTATCACTGTCTTCAGCATAAAGCACTTCGCTAGCCAACAATGATTTGATTTTGTAAATGACAGAAGGATGTACTCCAAAAATGAGGATTCAGATCTGGTGAAACTTTGAGGATATTTGTTTCTTAAATGGAAAACAACGTCATATCAATCATTCTCCAGAGCAATATGAACAAATTTCTCATCGTACTCAAAATCTAGCTCATCCACTAATGTGTATCTATTCTTGACGATAAGTAATGCAATTATTTCAGCAAGAATATTGCGATCGGTAATTTTAGAAATAATTTTCCTTCATTCAACATTAGTTTTGCCTCTTTCCAAGAGAACAAACATGACATCTACGTAGGTAATCTTGCTGCTTGAGTCCAATTTGCGAAAAGAATGGATTGCATGCTCATCTCTGAACTTCTCAATGATCACATTTGGGACAGATTTGCTGACTCTATCCATCTTTATTCCCTCATTCAGTGCCTAAATTTTTATCAGAAAAATATGAATTTAGCTGGATACTGCAGTATCCTGGAATATAGATTATCTAAAGAACGTTGTTTAAATAAAAATCCATAATCTACCTTAAAAAGAAAGGCCTTGCCTATGTCAAATAGTGAGAAGAGATCATCCAATCGGAGGCTGAGTTCTTGAGAGTCTTTCGAAAGAATATCCATCAGCACTGGTTTTATCTGATCTTTTAATCATAATTTTAAAGACATCTCTCTGACATTACTCATCTCACTTTCATTGCTAACTAACTCTTCATACTCTTCTGGGAGCTCTTGCTCGACCAATTTATTTTCCATATTTATATTTCCTGAAATTTCTAAATGGAGATTAGACACATCTAAGGAGTACCATCAAAATATTCATTGACAGGCTCGTAGAACTCCTTTTTGTCATATAGCACAATGAGATGTATAAGCATAGGCCTGTACTCAGCCTTAATCTCCGTTTTGTAGTCTTCCGTTAGCTTTTTGATTTTCTCAAGGGTGTCCCCATTTTTCAAAGCATGGATAAAGCTATAGAGAAAGGGTTAAACTCAAGCACAGGTTATTAATTATTATGTAAAACTATTTGAGATAAAGCAAAATCTTCTGTAAAGTATTTCAGTTGATGAGCTAAATGAAATTTATTCATGGATAGTCTGAGATTGTACCTCGGAAAGAATGAATCTAGCTTCTCTTCCTCCTCTTCAAATCTAGATAAATTCTCGATGTCAGGATCTTGATAATACAGAGCACTGCCTTGTCTGTCTAGTTGCCTATCTCCTGAACGATAGGATTCTGTATCTAGCCACATGTCACTTCTAATCATGTTCGGGTCTTCTTCTCTCTCTGCTGTTTTCATCTTAAATTTTCTTTTATTTTAGTGATAAGGGGTTTTGGGGTTTTGGGGTTTTGGGG